CAGGGCTATTCTTTCCAAAATACAGACTTGAAGTAGAAGTTAAAACTAGAGTGTGTCAATTATATACTGGAGCATTTGGTCCTGTTCATAAGCCGCACCCATGATTGCACCCGGCTTCCTCACTTTTCATAAGGGACAGACTACTTTGTTACACTATGAAATATGATAATATCTTTCCTGGAACAACTGAAGATTGCCTTTCAGATGAGACAAGCTCAGCCAGATAGAGGCTCCTTTATGTATCCACCAGTAAATTCACTGTCTGTGGTCTAGGGTCACTTTTACAGCCCCCTTGTGTCACAAAAGTATCTTAACAGGCTGCCTGTAGATTCCTCTGTGACATGAAGGCCCCAAGATAACCAACCTCTGGCATTTCAGCACCATCTTCTAAAAGTCTTATACAGGTTTCCTTTGCTTTATGTGGGTTCTGTATGTGCAAATTTGCTCTTATGTGATGACCCATTTTATACCAAAAATTCATTATATGTGAGGTAAATTTACCCTTATGCAATCGGTGTGGTGGGAGCCCACAGTCAGCTGCTTTGTGTGGTGCATTGTGGGAGGGATGTGCACCAAAATATAGTCTCCTGTGTGGATCTGTGCTCCTCACTTGTTGTCTGTGACCTGTGTTTCTGTAGTTGCCATCCCCATTATGATAGTGCCCTGTGCTTGTGTGTACTGTCTGTCTTTGGTGAGTACTCAGACGGTCTTGTAAAAGTGTAGAAATAGGTGTGGGGGTCAGTACAGTCAAGGTCTTGGAACATATCCCTATTTGTTACATTGTAAAGTGGGATCCCTTTATGCGAATTTGAGTTACGTGCCGTTTTCCAGGAATGCATGTACAGTATAAAGCGAGGGAAACCTGGATGGAGGGTACACTAGGGATATGAGGGATTGTGCCATGGCATGCAACATTCTGCCTCTCCCAACCTAAGGGCAATTGCACCAGCTAGTACCTTAACCTATAGCTTGTGTGGGAAGGTGAACTGACACATGACTACCTGGGATTGAGGGTGAGGAAACAGAGTGTCTGGGCTCACTAATCTTTGGTCTCAGAGTACAGAAGGCATGCACAGATAGGTGAAGTTAGCCACTAGGTGGTGGCATCTATTGTTTTAGTTGGTTAGGTTTGCTGTCTGGCAGGTTAGTACCAGCTGGCAGGCAGAACATATCCTTACAGAATTTCCATCTTGTTTAGGCTTTTTCTTTCACAAAGTATGCCTCAGCAAATCATTCTACATCATAGGCCAAATTCCCATCTCAGTTACAGCCATCTAGTCAGGAGGTACTCTGATTTTAGAGCTGTGATGTCAATCATATTTCCCTGCAGACTACAGGTGTTGGCCCTTCACACAAGTCTACCAGGACAGTCAAACAATTCATTTATTTTCTGAATTGGGAAAAAGATTGATGGGGAGAGTAGAGTAAATCTGTGATCTGTGTATTTTGAGAGAGAAAGCTTTACCATTAAAAGGTTACACTGTCATTTTCCCTTTCCCTAGATTCTTTCTTAAATTAAAACATCTAAGTTCTCTTGCAAAGAGCAATTCTAAGCAGATATCTGTCTCCCCCCTCTCCCCCTTATATCTTATTTTATGCTATATAAATCACATATTTGCTATGAGAACTTCTAGGAACTGCCTTGGAATTCTTCTGGTAGCTCCTGAAGAGCAAAGAGCAAAAGTATTGTTTTTGGCAATAAAAATAATCCACGGGGTTGCATTATTTGGGATCTCCTTACTTTCCAGTGTGGGGCTTAAGCATACCTGGCCTTATGTTCCTTTAGATATTTTGAGATTAATTAAGGGATGATTAAGCTAGCAATAGTTCTTCGCTTCATCATCTTGTCACCATAAAAAAGAGTTGGAACAAAACTGGAAGTATGGCATGAAATCATTTTATTTTTTTAATTTAGAAAAAATGACTTTCACATATTTGCCAAACATTCTAAACTCCCCACAAATTATTTTTATTATTTAGATTTATATTCTGCCGTACCCAGTGTCTTACAATAACAGACTAACAACCCAGAAGATAAGATACAACACCAGACACCCCAGCTGACACCCTAAGACTGAACCTCCACCTCATCCCAGCCACTCATGTTTCCCTACCTATTACCCATGAGAGCAAACTCTCCAGCCCATCCCAGCTGCTCAAATGATGTCAAGCGTCTCTTTTCTAAAGTGAATAGGCCTAGCCTCTTTATTCTCTTCTCATATGAAAGTGCCTCCACACTATCAATCCGTGTTGCTTTTCCCTGTACCTTTTCTACTTCTTTTATATCCTTTCTGAGGTGTGGGAACCAAAACTGGGCACAGTATTCAAGGTGTGGATGCACCAAGAATTTATAAAGGGGCATAATGATAGTGTCCTCTTTGTTTACAATTCCCTTCCTAACAATTCCTAACATATTGTTTGTCTTTTTGATGGCGGCTGAGCACTGAGCTGATGTTTTTAGTGAACTGTTCACGATGACTCTGAGATCTCTTTCCAGTGTGGTAACAGCTGATGGAGAGCCTATCATAGTTTATGTATAGTTAGGGTTATTTGTGTCCATGTGCATCACTTTACATTTATCTACATTGAATTTCATCCACCATTAGGTTTTCCATTCGCTCAATAGTATCAGATCCTTCTGTAGTTCCTTGCAGTCCTCCTTGGTCTTTACCACATTGAATAATTTTGTGTCATCTGCAAATTTGGCCACCTTGCTACTCACCCTCTTTTCCAGATCATTTATAAATATGTTAAACAGCAGCGATGCCTACACAGATCCCTGGGGGATCCCACTGTTTACTTCTTTTCATTCTGAAAACTCACCATTTATACTCATGATTTTATTTCTATATTTAAGCCAATTTCTAATCCACAAATGGACCTTACTTATAATTCCATGACAACCTAACTTTGCTAAGAGCCTCTGATAGAGATGACCTTGTTAAAGGAGTTTTAGAAGTCCAGATATACTGTGTTAACTGGATCACCCTGATCCACCTGCTATTGACACCCTCAGAAAACTCCAGTGGGTTGGTGATGCATGATTTCCCTCTGACAAAACCATGTTGATTCCTTCCCAGCAAATCATGTTCATCCATATGCCGAACAATTCTTTTTTTATTATTGTTTCTATCAGTTTTCCAAGAATGAAAGTTAGATTCATGGGCTTGTAGTTCCCTGCAACCTCTCTAGAGTTTTAAAAAAAAAATATGGGAGTTTCATTGTCCATCCTCCACTCCTTTGGTACCAAGGCTGTTTTTAGTGAAACTAGCAATTTCCAAATGGAGCTTATTTCGGACACTAGGGTGAATGCCATCAAATCCTGGTGATTTTGCTACTGTTTAGTTTATCACTTTCCTCTACGACTTCATCTATTGAAACCTCAGTTTGGTTCAGCTCCACTGACTTGTACCTAAAGAGGAGTGGATCTAGTGAGGGAGTCTCCCTAACATCCTCCCCAGTGAATACAGATGCAAAGAAAACATTTAGTTTCTCAGTGATAGTTCTGTCATCCTTTAGCATCCCTTTTACACCCTGATCATCTAAAAGCCCAACTGACTCCCTGGCAGGTCTTCGATTTCTAACGTATTTAAATAATTTGTTATTGTTACCTTGTATGTCTCTAGCAAGTTTTCCTTCAAATTCTTTCTTTATTTCTCTTATTATTTGCCCTCAAAACACTCCAGCAAGTTAGGGAAATGCTACTCTCCTCCCTGTACAGATACTGGAGTACATATTTTGTAAGGCATTTGTGCATTTATGGGGCTACAGGACTCGGGGAAGGATCAGATGACCAAGCAAGGGCTTAGGTAGGAGATATGAAGGCAGAAATAAGATATAGTAAATTCATGAAGTATCTTTACTTCAGGAATACAATTCTGAACTATATTTGATGGTGAAGGAGGATGGAGAGTGTCGCGGTGGATGTAGTCTTTCTGGACTTCAGCAAGGCCTTTGACACCGTCTCTCACCCCCTCCTAGTTACAAAACTAGGTGACTGTGGCATCGATGCCTACACAGTCAGATGGATTGCAGATTGGCTGAGGGGTCGCACTCAGAGGGTGGTGGTGGATGGGTCATATTCG